ATCTATCTATCTATCTATCTATCTATTTATAACAACATCTATCTATCTACTTATTTACTCATCTACTTATCTATCTATCTATCTACCTACCTACCTACCTACCTACCTACCTACCTACCTACGTACCTACCAATCTCTGTGTCACCACGGTGACTGTGGTTATGTGAAAGTTGTACAAGTTGTAAGAATTCCAGCTTCTCATTTTAGATGAATAATTAAGACCTGTAGACAGAAGACAATAATAGCACAAAGTGGAAGGAATATAAGGGCCCGCTTCATTCTATAGACAGAGGAGCCACTGAGGAGGCTTTTAGAGTTGGACCTCTACCAATAACAGCTTGTTTTGAGGAATGAGAATACAAAGATGACTTCAAGAGGTAGCGCACCATCTTCTTTCCAAGGCTGACCTTACAAGGGCCAGAATTGGAAGCTGTACTGAACATGGAGTAAGGGACACTCTGAAAAGCTTCCCATTCTAATTTTCAGATGCTTACTCAGAATTATAGTCTCAGTTTTATAGTTCAGTCCTCCAAGTCTTGGACTACCAGAGGTGCTCAACACGTGGAGAAATGAACATCTTTTTTTATGAATATGTTTCCTTTGAATGAACCCCTCAGAGAAATAATCCAGGCCTGGCAGGTCATCATGGCGATGAGCTTCCAGAAAGTTCTTGAGCGTGGGACACTACGTTAAAACTGATAGCTGGGGAAATGAGTGAGGGCGGCATAATGGGGTAAATGGAGGCAATTAGAAGGGAATTGGTTGTTGTTGTTTTCCTACTTAAAGTGACACTTTACTGGACAGAACAACACACTGCCTGGGCCTGAGCCACCCTCACAACTGTTGTGTTTGTGCCCACTGTTGCAGTCACTCTTGTTGTTAAGTGCCGTCGAGTCGGTTCTGACCCATAGTGACCCTGTATAGGGTTTTCGAGGAGCGACTGGTGAGCTGGAACCATCGATCTTATGGCTCAAAGTGACTTTGCAACCCAGCTCATGAACCCACAGCACTACACGGAGACATACGGCACATTCAGGGAGCTGTGGCCCTGGGCTGCAACCACTGTGGGTAACCATAAACTCGGGAAAGGTTCCCTAAAGAGATGTATGCACTGCATTTCAAGGTGCAACTTGTAATACACCGCATTTCTTTGGGGGAAAAAAATGTTGAGGGGGGAGGGGGGAATACGTTAATGATGTGGACTGAGTGGGGTTAAGGATTGAGCTCCCTAATTCCTCCTTTCTACTTCCCTGGTGTGAAATAACAGCCAGTGGAGGACGGACTGGGGCAGGAGGAGCGGAAAGACGAGATGGGAAGGAGGGAGGAAAAGAGAGGTGGAATCCCGACTTTAACCCCAGTCCACGCTCACAGGCAGCCTGCAGGTCACGCGCTCTGCCCGGCACTCCGCACCACGACCCGAGAGCGCACGGGATCCCTGGTCGGGGCGCAGGGCTCCGTGGTGTCCCTAAGAGTGAACATGGCTGCACAGCGGGCACTGCTTCTCCTTGGCTTCCTTCTGTTTAGGGGCCTGCTTTCAGAGGCCGCCAAAATCCTGACTGTGTCCTTGGTGGGTGAGTGCTGGCCCCCGGGAATCCATAGATGGGAGCGTCACGAACCCACTCAAGAGCTCAGGCATCCAGCGTGCACAGAAGGACGCTCTGGGATGCCCCTCACCCTGGGGACTGGTGGTCTTGGCCGCGCAAGAGAAGTGAGAGGGGAGCGGCCTGTGGGCAAGGAGGGGCTCTGTTGGAGAACACCACTTTCCTTTCTTGCCTGTTTTCCTGCTCAAGAGGAGCTCCCCATTTCGAGGAGGAGCTGTGGTAGGAAGTAGGAGACCCCCATCTTGTACAGGACTCGGGCCGCCCCCTCCAGAGCATCTTGGTGAGATCAGGGCAGGTGCTCTGGGGCTGCAGTCCATGTTCTCAAAGCCCAGTTAGAGCAGAGAAGGTATTTCATCACAATCAGGGAAAAAATCTCAAACCAAACCGATGCCCATCAAGTCATTTCACCTCATAGTGACCGTATTGGACAGAGCAGAAGTGTCCCTTAGGGTTTCTGAGACTATACAGGAACAGGCAGCCTCACCTCTTCTCGGGAGGAGGCTGGCTGGCAGTTAGAAGCCCAGCTCTTAACCCACTGCGCTACCAGGGCTCCTTGACAATCTGAACAGAACTGAATAGGTCTATCTCGCAGAGCTTCCTTTCCTTTCACCCCTGAGGTTTAAAGTTTGTGACCCGAGTGTGTGGCTCACTCTGGATTTTATTTCCTTCACTTCTGCTCCCAGGGCAACGGAAGATGAGAGGAAAAATATAAAGAATCAAGAGGTCATCAAGATCCTCTAGGCAACCCACCCTGAAAGTATTGTTGTTGTTGGTAAGTGCCATCGAGTAGGATCCGACCCATAGCGACCCTATACAGGGTTTCCAAGGAGCAGCTGGTGAGCTTGAACCGCCAAGCTTGCAGTTCAAAAGGCTTTGTAGTCTGGCGCATTAACCCACAGCGCCACACCAGGACGCCACCCTCAAAGTATAGTGGGCTCCTTTTAGATCACTTAAGATCATGGACAATCAATTTGGGGATCTTAGAGCTGAAAGATCTCCAAGGCGTCTTGGTGTGGCACGGTGGGATAAAGCGCTAGACAGCAAAGTCGGTTTGAAAGCAATGCCAGCTATTCAAGTTCATCAATTGCCGTTTGGAAACCCTATACAGGGCCCCCATGAGTTGGAACCAACTCATCAGCACTTAATAACAACAACAACAAGAGAGCTGGGAGGAACTTTAGAGTTGGATCTAAAGTTGAATTTGGCTCCTCTTTAGTTTTTCCAAAAGTAACCGTGGTGGTGCTATGGATTAGGCATTGGGCTGCTAAGTCTAGGTGGGTAGTTCAAATCCACCAGCTGTTCCTTGGGAGAAAGATAAGACTATTTGCTCTTCTAAAGATTTGCAGTCTCCGAACTCAGAGATAGTATTGTTATGGGCAATCTTTTGGATGACAGTGAGCTTGGTTGTTGGTTTCCCTGAGAGGGAAAACAGAATCAGGGAACTGAAGCATCTTTTGCAAAACTACACCAGACTTCCTTAGCGGTAAACCCCAAGAATTCCTTAACATTTTTGTACCCCAAGACGATCTTCTCCACAACTTCCCCTCTTAAACCCTTTAAAAAATTTTTATTAATCATTGCAATGAAACAAAGTAGATAGGATGAGTGCAAAACCAGTGTTCTCCCATGTAAATTATCACTCACTTCACAACAAAAGCTTTAAAAATAAATAAATGAAATGAAAACTGCTGAATCAAAATAAATAATGTGGCGAGGTCCATATGTATTGGAGAACATCTCACTACAAAAAGGAGTTACATGGTATAAAAGACTCACTTAAAAGAACTGGCAATAATTCACCAAATTTACTGGTCATGGCTGCAGATAGTCCACTATCTTCCCAATTTCATTTGTTTTATAATCTTAATTATAACTCTCTCAAATAAACAAAAAATTTTAAATAAAAGAAAATATGACAATAAAAAGAAAACAAAAATTTTAAATGCTAAACCTTTTTTAAAATGTGGGGATTTCATTTTTAAAGGAAATTTATTAACAAAAACAAAACAAAAAATGGTCAAGGCAAAAAATGGTTAAACTCCATTAATAACTCTTCTTCTCTAATTCTTAGTAGTGACGAACGAAAAAGACTCCCTTACCGCTTAAAAGTTCACTGTAATCCTGCCTCTGACCATGAGAGAGAGGTGGGCGGGTGTGTGTGTGTGTGTGTGTGTGTGTGTGTGTGTGTGTGGTGGTGTCTGTGAATTACTAACAGCCCCTTCTTTGCCTCTGGTGCACCCTTGTTCACCAAGACCCATGATGAATGGCTGTGTGCATTCTTCCCAGTACCCAGGTCTTACATTGATTAAAACGAACTGCAGAAGCAGGCAGTGTGAGATGTAGGGTGACCTCAGTGGTGACCCCAGACCACAGAAGTACGTGTAAAATACTGAGTCCAAGAGCTACAAAAATAATAAGACCTTCAGCTCTCAAATACCCATATTACCCTAATTCTTGGCATTTGCTATTTCCTTCTCTCCTGATCTTACTTTCTCTGTTTCTGGGGTCTTTAGATTCTATCAAAACTTGTTAATGGTATGATGGAACTTGTACCTTCTCTTTCCTTAGCATCCTGGTATTGTGTCCTATGACCAGCGATTCTCAGTGTCACATGAAAATAGTATCCGGCAAACTAGCCCCACGTCCCACAGTTGTCCTGTTATGCCTTAAGTCTAAAGTGATCAAAGTCCAGGCTCAAATTGAGAAACTTCTTGCCAAATACATTTGAGGCATAAGAATTTTGGCTCTAAGCCATGGTTCCACCTCTCTCTCCTCCAATGGTTATGTTTGGACTGACTTTGTACCTCCCATATTTTTGGAACCTGTTGTTGTTATTGTTAAGTGGCATTGAATAGGTTCTGGCTCATAATAACCCTGTCTAGGGTTTCCATGGAGTAGCTGGTAAACTTGAACGGCCAACCTTGTGGTTAGCAGTCTAGCGTGTACCCTACCAACATCCTTCAGTAGCATAAATTTCCAAAGAGAGGGTCTTGGAAAGAACTCTGATTGATTGTCTATTAAGAAGCATTTACATTCATAGGAATAGCACGATGCCAGAAATCTGACCATGCAGTTATTTCTTTAGAACATAAGTTTCCATGAGGTCCCTGACAGCATGGCCCCTGAATGAGGCACTCTCAACACACGTGCACAGAACTTTTCAGTGGAGGATTGTAACAGGGTAAAGATTTAGAACCATGTTCTGGACATCTGGCCTGATAGGGTTATCCCAGGGAGCTGGAGGGACTGATAGAGGCTTTATTCTTCTATTCACCACCTAGTTTCTGGTTTTATTACCCTCCTCTCCTGCTTTTCTCCCCCATCAACTTCGGAATCTCCATTCTTATATTTACAAAAATGAAGTTGCGTATTTTTCCTAGGTGGAAGCCATTATCTACTGATGGACCAGGTGTCTCAGATTCTTCAAACTCATGGTCATAATGTGACCTTATTTCAACAGCAAGGACTTTCGTTAATTTCAGGTATCTTTTCTTTCTTACTAATTGACTTTTGT